AAAAAAAAAAAAAAAAAAAAAACTGACACGCACATTCGAAACTAATCGATAATGTTTTCAATTTAATTCATCTCACGAATTAAAAGAAGTCATATTTATTTGTCCAATAAAAACAAAAGAGCGATCCGTTTTAATCGTGCGGTTATCAATTCCAAAAAAAAAAAAAAAAAAGAAATTTACACGTACATTCAGGGCAAATTGATCAATCAATCACACTGGTTTTTAATCCAGTTCGGTTTGTCATTGGGTATATCTGTCTTCTCCCGATGCTAACGAGGGCGATGAATATCGTATAAAATGGTGGAACGCACCGGACGAGTAGGAGCGAATCTAAATTTCGCAAACAAGCTTTCCACCGTTCCGTTCCGTTTTCGTTAAAGCTCCCCGATGATAGTCGTATTTGAGGATCGTTTTTAAAATTGGAACTAGTCCAAAAACACTCGGCGACACATTCCGCGAACAGGAATTTATTTTTGTTTCCAGCCATGCACGAAACATCGGGCGTATTTTCGATTCGAACCAAACCTTTTCTCACTGCTTGTTTTCACTTTTAATAACTACAAGCGACAAGCGAAGTCCCTCTCTTTCGGCAGAAGATCGTTAGTCTTCGTTTGAAAGCATCGGCGCCAATTAGAGCGAATCATTGCGCGAAGATTTATGCGTTGGAGAAAACATTTTGCCGGTAAGATGATTGTTTCACCTTCGATTGAAATTTTTGGTATCGTTTATTTTAATTTTTTTTTTTTTTTTAAGCGACAAGATCCTTGGAGACTTGCTTCCTTTTTTTTAAGACGGAGAGGTTCTTTTGTACGAAAAATTGTACAGTAGAAAATATTTCCAACTTTGTTCCTACTAACTTAGTAAAAGAGCGAAGGAATGAAAATTGGAAAAATTGCGAGAAAAATAGCGGTGAAACAAACTTGAAAGAAAGAATGTTTCTCTACTCCGTGTAAGTATCAAGTCTAATAAACCAAATCTCGATATTGTTCTTGAACAATACGAAAGAGAAACGATACGATGAAGTAATCCCATGGATCTCGACGAACGTCAAAACGCTCGCCCGTCCTTTCTTCTTTGCGCTTGCGAGTTTATTCGAGATTTATGCGTGTTTTCAACTACGAAATCCGGTAGAAGCGTCGCGAGACGATGGATGGAGTTACACGACTCACTGTTTTCCGTCCATCCGTTTCCGCTGTCGTGACGCGAGACAATGCTTGTATGTATTAGGGACGAATTTGAACGAGGCGTGCATTTAAATTGCCACTAAAATATATTAAGAGAGAAGTTTGAGAAAGACAATTTTTCAAACTTCGATTTAAAATTTCAAGATTTTTTACATCTAATTTTCCATCTTAAAAATTTAGACCGAATCTTTTTTCGTTATATTCCGATTATTTATTCATAATCGAGCGCGAAATTTCGAAATTTTTGTTCCAGCTTGCCTCTCGATCGAAGAAATTAAATTATAAATAGGAGAGTAACGAGCAACACGTGGCGAAGATTCTGGACCACCGTGAAAGTCGTTTGATCTCGTCGAGTTTATGCTTAAAGACAAATAAGTCTGACGCGAGACACGCGCGAAGAAACTCGTTCCACGGACCGAAGTTCCGCTATCGGAAACGCGCAAAGGCCTTCGACATCCGTCTACAATAACATTTTGATAATGAATAGCGACACGCGGCTTCCTTTCATCCATTTGGTATTCCATTTGTTTTTCCGTCTGTCTAGAGCAACTCGTAATCTTGCGTAATCGTCTCGTTGAGGAGCTGCTCAATTTGTGAAAATAAAAAAAGACTTTATTTGAACAATTTGATACATCAATGATGTATCAAAATTTATTTCAAAAACTGGAATTCAATTCTTTCGCGTATGATTTTTCATTTAATTAAACACGTGGTGTATCACTGACCTGATCATTTTGTTCATTACAGGAATTACTTTGAAATCACTTCTGAATTGTAAGTAAGAAGTAATTGGATCTATAATAACCGACAAAAAAAGAGAATTATTCTAAGAAGAGTGAATAAAGCAACGATAAATAAAGAAAAAAAAATTATCTTAATCCAGACAAGAGACAATTTAAATTCATACATGATCTATTTCTATTATATTCTCATATTTTACATGCACGATAAATCCATTTACCTTTTACGCAATCCCTTATTTCAAAGTAAGTAAATGTCCTATCTTTCCTTCTCTACAACAAATTTCCTAAAATCGTTATAAAATAAAATTCCACTTGTGTTGTTTATCACAGGGGAAGAAGAGGAAGATTTTGATGAGAAGACAAAAGAGAAGAAAAATCCGAGGAGGCGATTAATTCTCCCTCGAATCGAAACGCATTAAGAAAATGAAAGAGAAAAAGGCCGCGAATCTAACACGGCCTCTGATAATGACCATGATTGCTTAATTAGCTGCCAGTGGAGCAAAGTGAGTGCACGGGCAAACAGAATCCTCCCTTGCTCCGTAGGAACTACGGCTGGCTAGTCGTTCTAACCAGGCGAGCAAGTCCAAGGTTGTCGAGGCTCTGATGCAACGCGAGCCATCATCATCATCGGCCGTGGTCGCGCAAAGTGGGAGGTGGATGGAGGTGGAACGGCGGTGGGGCATTCGTGATACGCGCTCCGTTCACCAGAGAAGCAATTGGAGCTATGGCAAGAGTTTTGAGGAATCGAGTTATCGTTCGAATTTTGGAGTTTAAATGGAGGAAACTTTGAAATTTTTATGGATCATCAAAATGCGTAACGATCATCCCCTATTGCAATTTAAATTGCGAAAAATTGTGATGGTTGGAAAATGGAAAATGATGGGAAATTATGAAATAGAAATATAACGTAGAGGAAATTTTGAGATATAAGTACAAAGAGAGAGACTTGCAAGTTTTTGATGAATTATCAAAATGTGAATATAGCGAATTTAATCGCTATATTTAATTAATTAAAATATCGTGATAATAAACTGTAAAGAAAATATTGAATAAGGAAAAAACTTGGAAGTTTTGTCATAAATGCAACGAATTGTGCGATAGAGCTTACAAAGTACTTTGAAAAATTATTAAAATTAGAAGAATTTTATTTGGAATAGCGTGTTGCATTTTGAAGGAAATTTGGAATTTGGAATTTTTATATCTTAATAACTGTCGTGAGAAGAGGAAGAGATAAAAATGGCGGAAGTGAAGGAAAGTAAAAGACGAGTAGCGAGCAACTTAAGAGAGATTATCTTCCAAGATTGTTTTATCATGCGTCTACGACACATTAAATGATGATCTCAAGTTTTTCGAGCTGCTCACGTGTAACGCGCGACACTTAATCGGTCGATGACGTCTATTACATGGAAACATGGATTGGTTCTTAATCGATTAAGACTAAGATGGCAACTAATATGCGACAGAAATGATTGATGTACTCGATGCCAATCATTTTGCCATTTTTTTTCTCTTTTTTATATAGATTTCTTGAATCCAATTAAATGTAAGAAAGAGACAAAATTCATCGAACGAAGTTTTCTTCGAATATCAACAAGTTTCTGTGAAACGTGAAAATTAATGTTCACAGATATTTAATATTTTCTTAGTTAATAATAATATATTTCTTCGTGAATATTTTTTTTGCATCTGAAAATTTGACGAAGAAAAAAATATTGTTCGTAATAATTGAATACTTTCATCGAGTTAACAATATTCTCCATCAATTATGCCTATGTATTGATAACATTATCACGTTAATCAGTTCAAACTATCAGAAATAGATTAAGATATAATTAAAAATACTCGCACAGATTATCTTTATTATCTTTATTATTTTCCCAACGAGAGATTAAAGATGTTTATTACAAATACTCAATACAAATATTATAAATACTCCCATCTTTCGCAGGTGTCTTGAAACGAAAGTTCAATCGCATTACCAGGGAGCTACAAACTTACTCAATTAAAACTTTTATCGAATTTCTAATTTCGTGTGAATTCCGTAAATCTTAATGAGAACAGATGAAATCGAAATAAGAGGGAGACTTGTCCAAGAATTACTCGAAGATATATTTCACAACTTATTTATTCGATACATATATATATATATGTTGGAATTATCGAAATTGAAAAATTTATATTGATCATAAAATCGTTAATAAAATGGAAAAAAAAAATTACTTAGTCATGTTAAATATGATGATCAAATTTTTTTTAGCGTATTCTTAAGCTCTTTAAACTCGCAAAGTCATGATGAAGTATTTTTTTACGATAAATAGGTTCTTAGAAACTCTATTTTTATTCTACGTTATTACTGAAAGTGTCAGAACGAGGAAAATTTATTAGATCTTTTTTTTTTCTTATGTTAAGAAGGAAATTTGCTCGTTAAAAAAAAAAAAAAATATTTTAATATATATTAAAATATATATTAAATGTATTAGTATATGATTCGTTTGTCATAATTTTGTATGGTTTTTTGTTCGAAAAAGTTTTTTTTTTTTAATGCAAAAGAAACGGTTCGCGAGTAATGTAAAAATTAGCTAGTCTTTGTTGAGTCATATATAGAGGATTGATTGAAAAAAACACGTCATCGTTCTTAAGATATTTCTGTACGTAGATGTTACATAATTTTATAAGCGATAAATTATTCTCAAGTCACTTGGTATCGACCTGTTTAATGTGGGGCGTGGACTATTCCACTTTTTATTTTAAACTTCCAATATATGTATATGTATCCATCTTCCATTTTCACCTCCTGGCTTATAATTCTTTTAGCAGCTTTTTACTTGTCACTTATATTCTACTTTGACATTTGATCAGACGAAAAGGTTGAAATATTGTGAATAATTTTTTTTATTCTTAGATATTCCAACTGAAGTTTAAATATTTAAGTTTTATTTGATCATTTATACACTGTTTAATGATGTAAATTTTAAGTTATTTCAGTATTTTAAAGTTATATATTCTAAGTATCTTAAAGATTTTGAGTGTTTGAAGAGCCATAAGAATTTTAGATTTTAAATATCTAAAACATAGTTCAAAATTGATAACTTCAAATATTAAAAAATATTCTGTTCGTGTATTTTAAGTATCTTAAAAATTGTTGAATATAATAATTTAACAATTTAACTAAATTATCTCTATTGAATCTTTTATTGTTTTAAATTTCTTCTTAAGTAAATATATATTAATTGAATTTTAAAAAAATTTGTGAACAAGAACTCTTGTTCCTCCCTATTTATTTTTCGACAAAATTCTTGCAACACATTATACGAACACGAACACTTTTACTCTCCATACTTTCTCTCGATATACGTAACAATTATATAAATGGGCCCAGTTGTAAAATGACAAAAGAAAAGACGATTCACGTTCGTGAAATAAATCACGAAATTTTTTGTTTTCTTATTCGAACACGTTCACCAACCACGTCAATCGACGATTTTTATTTTCTCTCCATTAAACTCGACATAACAAAATGATTATATGCAAATGTATGTTCTCGTATGCATGTAATTAAAATTGTCAATCTGCGTGTTTGTTTACTCGTAAAACGTCACAATCTAATAGGGTTCAGAAGGAAAATTATATATCTCGCTTTTTAATCGGTCTATATATGATGATGTAATCGAGTGTAATCATTTTATATAGATCAATATAATGTTTTATTGATTTTATTTTGATTGTGTAATTGAGTTTATATTTTTATTAAAATTAAAATTGGAAAATTAAAATTTTAACAAGATATTATATATTTAATAATATACATAGATATTTGAGATATTTGATATAAACAGATGATTTATATCAAAAAGTTGAAATATTATTAAAAATATTCTGCTTATTTCCTAATTTTCTAAGCTCATCAATTTTTTAAAATTCGATTATCACATTCTTTGAAATAAATAAAAAAAAAGATTCTAATACAATTCGAAATTCTATCTTCTTCATTAAAATAGGTATCTTTCAGTCTTCTCTCTTTCTCTCACTTTGTCTTGATTTCTATCTATTCATTAATATATTCTACTTTTAATTAATCAAGGATTAAAATTATCGAGTTATAATCAATAATTTTGAATTGATTATTTCAATATGAAAAAAAAACTCGCTCAACGATTTCCGGAACAAAGGCAATTTATCATTGTTAACCTTGATTCAAGATCCGTATTTTGTAAAAAATTTACGATTCTCGGACGATTGATTGATCTTGGATAGTATTATCCAATTCCAAAAAAAACTGGATAATAGAAAAATTATTCACGTTATGAATAATCCTAATTTCTATATTCTGAAATTATACAAACTTATTTAAAATTAAAACTTAGAATCGAATTCATTATTTGAAAAAATAATAAAAGTAGAATTATCTTATTTTAGAAATTGTCATTAAATTGCAGGATTCAATAGAATTCAATAGAATTAATTATCGAAATCGAAAAATTAAATCTAGAATTCCATTTTTATAAAAGTTTTAAAAAATTTATCGATAGAAATTAATTTGACTTTCGAGAGATTATTCATATTTTAAAGAATTCACTAGACATCAGTTCTAGGGATCCCCAAATCTAAATCTACTTTTTCATTCGTATTGATGTTACAATTATTTCAAGAAAATAAAGAAATAAGTTGTTTTTCGACTTACCTATAGACACCATAATGTTTGCCACTGGCACGGTCACCGCAGATCGAGCAGAGGTGCTTGCTTCCGGAGAGAGGGTGGTTCGGCGGGTAGGGTGCGACTGCTTTGTTCTGGCCACTCGGCGACGTACTTAGAAGGTTGCTGTGACAACCAGCGGTGAAGGATCTTACATGCAAAGAAGAGAGTAACAAAAACACGAGCTACGAAACTACTGCCCCTGAATCGAGCAAAATACTGTTATTTTTCCATTGAAAACTAACAATTAACCCTTTAATAATCAAATTTTTCTAAAAAAAAAAAAATTAATCACAAAATTAATTTATAGAATATGTATAACTCGTGAAATATTTTTAGAATAACTTCATTAGAAAAATAAGTGTTAATAAGCGTCGTTATAATAATAATTTTTTAACTAACTTGATTAAAAAACTTGTAAAAATTTCCATCAAAATTTCACGAGTTACAACGATAATATATGAAAATTAAAAGTCGAACTATATTTCGCTCGATTCTTGTAAGGGCGATAACTACGCTCACAATATACCCTCGATTTACGATGTCGTTCGCCAGAATCTCGATATCTGTCGAATCGATACAATCGTGTATCGCACACTGTCCCATCGATGCATTGTCGACAATTGTTAAATCTTAAGAATCGTTCGATTTACGATAGTGTTACTTACCCCGGACTATTGGGACCGGAAGGGCTGAAGTTTCCGGGGTTGATGAGGCTTGCTGTGTCGGGTTTCATGTCCAGTGGACTTTGCGGGCCCACAGAGGACATGGACATATTGCTGTTG